CTATATGGCGACCAAAGATATAGTCCAACGGCCCCAGCGAAGCCGAGCCATAGCAGAGCTGCTGCAGATATCTGTCAACGAGCTCCTTCTGCTCATACAAAGCCATGCGCTCCCATGGCTTGTCCTGGACAAACGCAAAGATGTGATTCAGAAGATTGCAGAAGCACGTCAAGAGACTGAGATCTGGCGTCCTCTCATGGACAGTCAAAACACAGCCTCGGTACTATCACTTTTGATGTTGCAAGAATCGGAAAACATCGAAGATTTTGTCAAATCTAGCCTAGATGAGATATCGCCTCACTTCCACGCTCTTAGCCTTGCTGATATCGTTCAATCGGAGCCCATGTTGACCACCATAGAGCTCTTGAAGGCGGCAGCAGACGCCGATGCATCGCGGAAACGACAGGTATGTTTCTCATAAAGTCCATTCGTCCCCTTTCCAGCTTGTGTTAACGGTGTTTAGGTACACAAAGCTTTAACAATGATGGCATCAATGAGCTTGGGATCTGTGAAAGAGACAAGGAACAAGAAGACAGACTTGGTTGGGCGCTTCCTGCAGTTGCACATTCTCGGCCTTATGACACGGTTTACCGACGTTATAAATGATTCAATATCCATCCATCCACAGGTAACTGAACAGAGACGCTGCATTCGCGCTTTGGAAGAAATAGTTCGAATATGCCAATCATATGCAAGAATTGCACGTCCACAGGTATGTCAAAAGGCAAAATGCGACTGCGACCGCTTAGTTGACTCTGCGTGTAGATATCGGCTTGTCTTCTATCTGCTGCTTCGCAAGATTCATTACGCGAAGCAGCCATTTCATGCTGGGCCGCAATGCTCAAGTACTTTGACGAAGAAGATGTCGAGGCTCTGCTGGAGGCTACTTTCTTCATCGTCAAGCGCTACTGGTCCTTGCTGAAGCCCGCGGCGATGACGACAATAAAAGAGATGCTCAGCAACCTCTTGGAAAAATCCGAGCATATCGTGCAAAAGCACATCACAAAGCTCCCGTCGCTATCTTACATTGAAGCTCTGCGTGATATCGAAGCTAAACTTGAGGCATTTCGGCCGCCTCTTGCCCTCGAAGATACTTTGGAGGTCTTTTCGCGGAGAATTGGTCACGACTATTCCGGGGTTGTTCACCAGGCGTTGGTCGACCTAGCACCATACTTGAGAAGTAACCAAAGCGCGCTCTACACCCTTGCTATCAGCCAGCGACCAGACGGCGTGATTGCTACGCTATTGCGGGCTCTCCTCGACTGCGCGTGCAAGTACAACGGGGTCCATATTGACATCACTCGACTCTGCGTTGAGTGTGTTGGACTTATTGGGTGCTTGGACGCAAATCGAATCGAAGCAGTACGAGAGCAGCGGTCCATCGTGGTGTTGGAAAACTTTGAAGTAATGGAAGAAGCCACTGATTTCGTGCTCTTTCTGCTCCAAGAGGTGCTAGTGCCGTCGTTTCTTTCTACTACCGACATGAGACTCCAGGGATTTCTGTCGTACGCCATGCAAGAGCTGCTTGAGAGATGCGAGATCAGGTCAGCTTGTAACGCCCATGCGGCTGGAATGAGTGGTGGCAGCGACATTTATCGCAAATGGATGGCCCTACCAGAATACGTGCGGGAAGTGGTTGCACCGTTTCTGAACTCGAGATACATGGTCGCGCCCATGAATCCCCAGGCTGTGGAATATCCAATCTTTCATCCGGGAAGGCTCTATGGCAACTGGCTACGAGCTTTTGTTGTAGAACTTCTACGAAAGGGGCAGCATCCACATGCAGATATGATCTTTGAACCTCTCGCACGAATCATTCGCGTCAAAGACCTATCTACTGCTGAGTTCTTGTTTCCATATCTCGTGCTTCACGTGCTTTTAGGGCCCAGGAGCAGCCAGGCAGAGAAGGATCAGATACTTGGGGAGCTCATGCACATACTGCGCTATCAACTCTCTCCGGACGCGTCTTACCAAGAAAAGGAAGATATGAAGCGTTTCTGTCATGTAAGTTTAATTGGCGATGAGCATGCAGACATGCCTGACTGACGAATCTGCAGCTTGTGTTCCGGTTCCTCGACTA